GATTATAAATAAAATTATAGATTTAAGAAAGCCTATACAGATTATAAATAAAATTATAGATTTAAGAAAGCCTATACAGATTATAATAAAATTATATCTTTTTTTGTTTTGTTTTGTTTTTCAGATTATTTTATTGAGCACTAAAATTTAGCCAAACCAAAATTAAAAAATTAAAAAAAAAGAAAGAAGTCAATTTTGTTAATAAATAATTTTTAAGTTAGATGTAACAATGATTCTTGTTAAAATACTCCGAACACATTTTCCCTGCAACATCTGGATATCTTTTTATAACGGTGGTTAACTTTGATAAACACACCATTAAGTCAACTCGCCAAGTTCATTTACTCTTTGCCTCCAATTAATACTTGATCTTATACCCATTCAGGAACCAGATAAATTCAATCTGGAAATGGAGGACATCAAAACACTGGAAGGTGTTCCCTCTGTCACCTTTGTTGCTGAATTTTGCAAGCCAGATGCCAAAATTAAGTATGTAGTGAAAGTTACTTTGATCAGCTCATTTGGATTTGTTGTGTTGATTTCAGAGATATAAATATTTCTTATATATATTTTGCTTCTAGTGTGGCCTACTTACTTTTCAAACCCCACGCCAAGTCTTAAATTAATAGTAGTGAGTGGAAAAAAAGGCTGTCATGCGAGACGTGTGAAATCAGGTTAAAAAAAATTCTTTATTATATTAATATATCAATCAATCAAGAGCTGTGGGTGTGGTGTAGAACTGTTTGTTGGACTACTGTTTAAAGGCCAGCAGGAAAGGTGTAGTATGGTCTGTATGCCTACTTCTCAAAATACCCAGACCCTGTGTAAAAATAACTGGACCCAATTAAGCCCAAGTATAAATATATTTGTATATGTATTTCAACTTAGTTTTTCTGCAAGTTTTGTTTGTTATCTTTCAATCACATTTCAGAGTTGACATTTAAATATTGAATTATAAGAATTTTGAAAAAATTTAATTGAAAATTTATTTTTAAATGACCATAATGCTCTTTTTGTATAAGTATTTTTTCATAACTTTTCTAGAGATGAAAAACTTTATTAAATTGAGTACCCGTAATGTTGATTAAATTGAGGACCAATAATGTTGATTAAATTGGGTACCTGTAATGTTGATTAAATTGCGCAACTGTAATGTTGATTAAATTGGGTACCTGTAATGTTGATTAAATTGCGTAACTGAAATGTTGATTAAATTGGGTATCTGTAATGTTGATTAAATTGGGTAACTGTAATGTTGATTAAATTGGGTACCCGTAATGTTGATTAAATTGGGTACCTGTAATGTTGATTAAATTGGGTAACTGTAATGTTGATTAAATTGGGTAACTGTAATGTTGATTAAATTGGGTAACTGTAATGTTGATTAAATTGGGTAACTGTAATGTTGATTAAATTGGGTACCCGTAATGTTGATTAAATTGGGTACCTGTAATGTTGATTAAATTGGGTAACTGTAATGTTGATTAAATTGGGTAACTGTAATGTTGATTAAATTGGGTAACTGTAATGTTGATTAAATTGGGTACCTGTAATGTTGATTAAATTGGGTAACTGTAATGTTGATTAAATTGGGTACCTGTAATGTTGATTAAATTGGGTAACTGTAATGTTGATTAAATTGGGTAACTGTAATGTTGATTAAATTGGGTACCCTGAATGTTGATTAAATTGGGTAACTGTAATGTTGATTAAATTGAGTACCTGTAATGTTGATTAAATTGAGTACCCGTAATGTTGATTAAATTGGGTACCTGTAATGTTGATTAAATTGGGTAACTGTAATGTTGATTAAATTGGGTAACTGTAATGTTGATTAAATTGGGTAACTGTAATGTTGATTAAATTGAGTACCTGTAATGTTGATTAAATTGGGTAACTGTAATGTTGATTAAATTGAGTACCCGTAATGTTGATTAAATTGAGTACCCGTAATGTTCATTAAATTGAGTACCCGTAGTGTTCATTAAATTGAGTACCTGTAATATTCATTAAATTGAGTACCTGTAATGTTCATTAAATTGAGTACCCGTAATGTTCATTGTTCTTATCATCAGCTTTTTTTTTTTTTAATACAAAAAGAGCGTAACTTAACAATATAATTTTTCTTAAAGGTGGTTCAAAAATAAACTGGAAATTTTCCATGGCCACAAATATCATTTTGAGACTGACCATGAGGATTACAAACTGACCATCAACAATGTCAAGTGTGAGGACGGTGGCAAGTACACATGCCAGTGTAACGACATCACCACCTCAGCCTGGCTCTATGTCGAAGGTCAGTCATAGTGGACTGTCAATTTAGTACATCAACCTGGATTTCATATCAAGTTCTTAACCTATTTATGAGCAATATTTGACCTAGTAGATTTTTAAAAAAAAATTATTATAAACATATCTTGTTCCATTATTTATATATTTCTAAACAAGTGACTCCATAAACTAAAATCTGGTAATCATTGAAACTAACTCTGTTGAAAGTGTCTGTTGAAAAGAAAGCCAAATATTGTTTTAAATTACCTTTGTTTTTTTTAACACCGCAGCTTAAGATATTCATGTTTTACATTACTTAATGGTCTCCTCAATGAACTTATGGAGTGGAAAAAATTTGAATGAAGTCCCGAACAATGATGCAAAGATAAAAATGGAATTTCAATACTATTCAATCAAATAAACTAAATTCAATATAAATAGTGAAAACTTAACAATATGTTCAAAAAAATTAATTGACACAATGGCGTTGTGAATGTGGTTATGGTTTGAAGTGATAGCGGTGCTGGAGAGTTAGATTTTGGAGTTGTATATTTAATAAAGAGACGTTTGTTCTATATCACATTGGCTTGTTGAGTAAGTAATTTACCCTAGACAACGAAGGCCATTCCCGGTTGGTAACAAACATTAGTAAAAGTTTTAAATGTTATATTCACAAAATAAAAAAATGAAAGTGAGTATTGTTTATAGATTTATTGTACAAGCAAGAAGTTTAATTTTATTGTTATTGTTATTGGTGTTTTTATATAGCGCGGTCTGTAGGGCTGGGCTCACCACGCTGTACATACAATTTAACAAACATAATCATGAACTTCAAAATTTAACATGCATTAATTTAAAAACCCGCCAACTATCCAAGCTCATCCATAACAAGATGTCATGTTTGTTATCAAAAGACTTTTTGTGGCCCAGGATGAAACCTTTTTTGTGTTCTCCTTTATTCACTCCTCATTCACTTCTGCTCTCAGCCAAAGAACCTGAATACTACTTCAACCAGAAACTTCCAGAGACCTATAAAGTCAAACGCAAGAAGAATGGAATTCTAGAGTGCTTTGTGTCTGACCCAAGGGCTAGGGTCAAGTGGTACAAGGGAGATGAAGTCATTGAGGTAAGTGTCACTTGGTGTGTCTTTGCTGGGTGGGACCCGGTGTGTCTTTGTGTTTGACCCAAGGGCTAGGATCAAGTGGTACTAGGGAGATGAAGTCATTGAGGTAAGTGTCACACAGAGGCGTAGTGAGGGTGTTTGGTGCCCGGGGACAAGATTTGCGCCCCGACACAAGATCCATTTTAAAGCGCCCCTTTTTCTTTTTCAACTCTCAAACCCATTATTTTCATCAATAAAATAATATCAAAGCACATTTTGGCGCCCCTAACTAGCTGGCGCCCGGGGACATCTGTACCCCTGCCCCCTTGCTCCCTACGCCTCTGGTGTCACCAGTTGTGTCTTTGCTGGGTGGGACCTGGTGTGCCTTTGTGTCTGACCCTAGGGCTAGGGTTAAGTGGTACAAGGGAGATGAAGTCATGGAGTTAAGTGATTTTGGTGACAATTTACATGTTTTGTGAATCTCCGTCAGAACAACAATTTTAAGAGACCCAGTTTTAAAAAAAATCCCTCCCCCCCCCCATTGAGGGTGAGGGAGGTTGGTTGCCGAATGAAATAATTACGTCACCAGCGCGGAAAGACTAGACTAGGCTAAATATTACTACAGTGATGTCTTGCCAGCTATTTATGAAAACACAAAGCATTAGCATAGCCGCTATTCGGACCAGGGTCCCTTTAGACTCAATCCCATCGGAAGTCATTTGTGGTAGTTTATTTTAGTTAAACTGAAGAAGTAAATTTACAAACATATAGTCCATTCACCTATCTTTCATTTGATACCTCATTTTGTCTTACAAACCCAACAATAATATTTTTAATAGCTTTTTAATCCCAACCTATCATTTCTGATACCCGGATCCGAATAGTCGCAGCCAATCAGAAAATCACTTTCGGTCGTTCTCTACTCTCAAGCTGGTCAAAGTTTATAGTTGGTCAGTTCCAAGTACAGCTGACAATTTAAATCTTTCTTACATTGGAATATCAAACTGAACATTTTGTACATGTCACTGCATAGGTAATGTCCAGTAAATTGGTGACGTTTCATCATGCTTTATTCCTTCAAGTCATCTAAAGGTAACATCATGCTTTGTTCCTTCAAGTCATCTAAAGGTAACAATGCTTTGACCTACAGCCTATACAGCCAACCAGTTTTGATTATATTAATCATAACAAAAGTCAATTATGAAATAAATTTAGATAATTTTTTTACCAGGCCACAAACACACTGTTTAACATATTCTATTGAGTTAATACTAATGAAACATACCTACTTTAATACAAGCCAAAGAATCACTAGCTCATAAAAAAATTAGTATAGCCTAAATTATTCTAACATCCGTGTCCTAGGAAACAAAATGACAGTACTGTACACAAACACTCAGGGCTTGTTTCTAGCCAACTTAAGAGATGTTTTAGATAGTTTAGAAATTAGAGCCATGCAGGTGGTGAGCAGAGCCATGCAGGTGGTGAGCAGAGCCATGCAGGTGGTGAGCAGAGCCATGCAGGTGGTGAGCAGAGCCATGCAGGTGGTGAGCAGAGCCATGCAGGTGGTGAGCAAGTGGTGAGCAGAGCAATGCAGGTGGTGAGCAGAGCCATGCAGGTGGTGAGCAGAGCCATGCAGGTGGTGAGCAGAGCCATGCAGGTGGTGAGCAGAGCCATGCAGGTGGTGAGCAGAGCCATGCAGGTGGTGAGCAGTTGACTTGATCAAATTCACATGACAAAGTAAGACCCCCTAAAGAAAAGTTCCTTTTATTTTTGTGTCAAATTTGTCTCTAACGATTCAATGGCAGTTTTTGAAGAGTTGATCTCTCATAGGAACATGACTCAAAATAGATCAGTTATTGAATGAGTACAAAGTTCCCTAAAACTGGAAGAATTTGATTGAAACTCTAATTGAATGAGTAGGCTACAAAGTTCCCCTAAAACTGGAAGAACTTGATTGACACTGATTGAAACTCTAGCTGCATAAGTACAAAGTTCCCCTTAAACTGGAAGAATTTGATTGAAAGTCGAATTGAATGAGTACAAAGTTCCCCTCAAAGTGGAAGAATTTGATTGGAACTCTAATTGAATGGGTACAAATTTCCCTAAAACTGGAAGAATTTGATTGAAACTCTAATTGAATGAGTAGGCTACAAAGTTCCCCTAAAACTGGAAGAACTTGATTGACACTGATTGAAACTCTAGCTGAATAAGTACAACGTTCCCCTTAAACTGAAAGAATTTGATCGAAACTCTAATTGAATGGGTACAAATTTCCCTAAAACTGGAAGAACTTGATTGAAACTCTTATTGAATAAGTACAAACTAATGATGTGTCGGTCGTCCCCCTTTAGCGGGCAACGTGTAGTCATGCCTCAGACAAAAAACCCATTCTTTATTTTGATCATCGCCTCCAGCCTCTCCCGCCCCGTCCGTGTATTTATAAACGGGCGGTGGTATAACAGTTTGTTCCCCCGTTTTATTTCTGCTGCCTCTCCTCCCCTTGCGCGGCTTGACGTCCTGCATCGTGGTGTAGGCTTTGCGTTTGACCAAACCGTGACGATCCGCGGGCCTGTTGGCATCGGCGGACATGTGTCTGTGGATGGGGGGCAGTCGAGATTTTCTTCGGTGGCTGTGCGGTGGTAGTGAGCGAGCTCGGTTCTTCTCCTCTTGTTTGGCCACCATCTTCTCCAGCTCTTCGAGACTTTCGTCCTCCAGCTTTATGTTGCTCGGGTGACGTCTGTTGGGCTGTTCAACTTTGAGGTGCATAAATCTGTTGCCGATATTCTGCTCGTACTCCAGCATTCTCTCCTTGAGGGGGGTTTCTTCTTGCTTAACCGCCCCGTCCCTGCCCTGGGCGCCAAAGTACCACTGCAGGAAGCTTCCTATTGAAGCGAGCCCTCCCTCCGGCACGTTTCTCTCCTTCCAAAGAAGGTCTTTGATGTCTTTGATTTTGGGGTATGAGGGTATTCTCAGCTTGGTGAGCCAGTCGTCGTGAAGGATAAAGAAGGATCTATACTGTTTCCTGGGTATAAGGAATATGGAAGACTTGACGGAGATACGCGTGTCGAAGACAGGCAGGCTCTCGTCATCATTAAGAACCGTACCGCAAATAAGGAGGAGATAGTCCTTGAAGGATAAGCCAGTTTTCATCTTCACCCTCATCAGGAATGTGGCCAACGTTTCCTTGCTGTAGGCCAGCATTTTGTAGATGACATTCTGGTGGCCGTGAATGAATACTGGGTACTGCTTCAAACTGAGTTCAATGGGTACCTTGTACTCCTCGATCACGTCGACGACCCTCTTGTTGTTGGGCAACCTGTAGCCGTCCACCACCAGGTCGTACATGGAAGCATTCGGCACACCGACCCTCTCGAGGGTATCTTTGACAGATTTGATGGTGCGACTGGGGGCGACTTTGAGCAACTCGGTTATGCCTCGTGCTATCTTGAACTTCAGGGGGATACCGTAAAGCAGATCGTCGTCCATTTTCATGGCGGAGAGGTCAAGGGTTACGGCTTTTGCGTTGCTGGACACGGAGCCGATGGCGTCGGTGAAGTCTAAGGGGAGGCTGTTGTGCCTCAGCAACTTCATCAGATTTACCGGGTAGCCCGTCATGCCGTGCAGCTTGAGAACCACCGTAGACCATCTGTCAAATTTGGAGACGAGGATGTGATGCAGGCGCCCAGTGTCCAGCAGGACCGGCACTTTCTGTATGGCCATGTCGTGGGCCAACCCTATGGTGGACATGGTCAGCACGTTGCCGTCGACGACGCCGTAGAACCCCAAGCAGTTGTCCCAGTCGATGACCCTCGACCCCAGGTAGAGGACCAGCGTATGTTTGGGCAGGAAGAGCTCGTACAGTCGCACCACGTCCACAACACTTTGGCTCACGGTGCGCCTGAGAATGCTGGCGATGATCCCGAATCCAGTCGTGCACGAGTCGACGTAGAGGTGGTACTGCTTGCCCCAGAACGTCTCCACGTGAACCAAGATGTCGTTCTTCAGGTTGAGGAGGACGAAAATGGTGCTGCTGTGAGCCAGTCCGTATTCAAACAGGTATCGGACGTTCTCGAGCGGCCTGTCCTTGTAGAGCAGGTCCATGCGGTCAGACGGGTAACCTCTTTCAGTTTGTAGTCGTGTCTTCAGCTCCAGTACCGTCATTGTGATGTTGAGCTGGAGGCGAACAGAAACAAATGGCTTGGTGAATTTTGATAGTAATGGAAACATCATATGAACCAAATAAGGTTACTTGCGTGCTATCGGCTTATAAAATTAGATCTATTTCGTTTAAAATCTATTTAGCACTATCCATACCGGGTACATCATAAAAGATACAATTTACTGAAAAACTATAATTTACAATATTTCTAACTAAGTTAGTATATATAAGAAGTGTACTATCTTAAAGCCATAAATTTAAACTGGTAATAATGGGGAAATACTACAATCAGGTTAGCCAAAAAATGAAATGAGTGAAACAAAGTAGAGGAAAACCTGAAGGAAAAACATGAATTCAAACCCAACATTACTTTTTTTTAAAGGCAATTTAAAAGCTTTTAGAAATACACAATGTCAATCCTAAATCAACAAATGGTTTGAGATTCCTTGGGCTCATTGTATCAAACTATATACATACAAAAACAAGCCAGAGTCTTGTAGGTAGCTAGCTCCCCAGCATGCCTATCTTAAAGTCTTTTTTTTTTGGTAACTCACCATCATACCTATCTTAAAGTCGCGAAGGTAACTCACCATCCTGCTTATCTTTAAGTCTTGTTGGTAACTCACCATCATGCCTATCTTAAAGTCTTGTAGGTAACTCACCATCATGACTATCTTAAAGTTTTGTAGGTAACTCAACTCACCACCATGTCTATCTTGTGGCCCAGCTGTTTGATCTCCAGTGTGATCATGTAGTCATACAGGGGGGCAATGATGATAGCGGTGCCAGGCTTGACAATAAACACACTTTCCATGTCCAGGGGCCTCTTGTGTCCTGGTAGAAGCACCATCATCTGCAGGGTGGGATAGAAGTTCATCTAGAATAAAGAATCTGATATATCATCTAGGAACCTTATCTTACGCATTCTTCAGCTGGGAACAGAGACCCTATTGTAGGCCTAATTCTGATGGAAATAGGAATCCTGTCTTAGGCTTAATTTAAGGTTTCCCTAAATGTCAGCTATTGTCGATACGTTATTAAAGCTATTTTTAAAGAAACAGAATTCTCTCTGTTAAGCTGTCCAACTGCATTAAAAAAAACACGATATATTTATACAATACTTTTCACTTAAGTGCCGAAACAATAGATATTAAACGTTGAAAACCACTTCGGATAATTTGGCGGGACTTGGGTAGTTGGTGTAGCCCCTGACCAGAAAAGACTGACATCTACCCTTACAACTGATGACCAGGTGCAGTGACCACTCTAGACTAGCCTGACTATGCCACATTCCCTTGTACTCGACTCGCATTCCCCATCAGGGAGTCATCCATAAATTGATTACGAACTTAAGTGGGTAAGTGCGTGTGTAGCATAAATGTCACAAAAAATATTGAACTAGAAACCAGCATTTGTTTTTTGTGGTTGTGCTTGTCACTTTTTTGTTTAGCTGTGATTGCCAAACTGACAGCAATTTGTTGAGAGCGCATAAAAATCAATTTCATCTCGATTTGGGAGTTTTTATCTAGAAAAAACCCTCACAGTTTCTAGTTAGCGCTTTACAAGTTTTAAATTATGCTAAAAAGCATTAAAATGTCAATCTTCCCTGTAGGAAGTCATTACCGTATTTTCGCGCATGTAAGACGCACATAATTATAAGACGCATCCGTATCTAACGATTTGTGTAAAATAAATTTGACATAAGACCCACCCATTTATAAGACCCACCCATTTATAAGACCCACCCATTTATAAGACCCACCCATTTATAAGACCCACCCATTTATAAGACCCACCCATTTATAAGACCCACCCATTTATAAGACCCACCCATTTATAAGACCCACCCATTTATAAGACCCACCCATTTATAAGACCCACCCATTTATAAGACCCACCCATTTATAAGACCCACCCATTTATAAGACCCACGCAGTTATAAGACCCACCCATTTATAAGACCCACCCATTTATAAGACCCACCCATTTATAAGACCCACCCATTTATAAGAACCACCCATTTATAAGACCCACCCATTTATAAGACCCACCCATTTATAAGACCCACCCATTTATAAGACCCACGCATTTATAAGACCCACCCATTTATAAGACCCACCCATTTATAAGACCCACCCATTTATAAGACCCTCCCATTTATAAGACCCACCCTGGGTGCGGAGTACGTAAAACTTGTAATAAGACCCGTTTTATATACGCGGAAATACGGTACTATTCTTGGATCTGTACGGATATTTTAAGTGGGTATAGCCAAAAAAAAACAGCTTATAGGGGAAAAGTGAGGTCGGGGTATAAAGCGCAGAAACAAAGGCAAGCCATGGGTTCGAACCTCTTACCAGCAATGACGTTGTCCTTTTCCTTAATATCATGAGCTCTCACCTTGTCCACGGCTGTATTGAACTGTAGAGAGGTCCTGGCGAATGCCACGATGTTCATGAAAGTGTCCCCTTGGACGGGTGTGAACAGTGCGATGGTCTCGGGATTCCTGTGGGTCCATATGGCCAGCTGTTGGCCGTAGACCTTCTGGAGGTCAAGTTCACCGTAGATGGCGTCATAGGGGTCAAGCTCATCGTCCAGGTCGTCGTAAAGAGAGTCAGCCGGGCTGGCCGCTGGGTATGGCATTGAGTTGTGCGCCTGTGGGAGGAAGGGAATGGGTTAATAAATACTTGATTAGAAGGCAGGTCTGTTTGTAGACCAGGTGGCATATTCCACAAGACTGGGTGCCATATTCCACAAACTAGATGTAATATACCACACGATTAGAAGTCATATTCCACAAGACTAGGTCACATACCACAAGACTAGGTGTCACCTACCAAAGACTAGGTGTCACGTACCACAAGACTATGTGTCATGTTCCACAAAAATAGGTGTCATATTCCACAAAACTAGGTGTCGTAGTCCACAAAACTAGGTGTCATATTCTACAAAACTAGGTGTCGTAGTCCACAAAACTAGGTGTCATATTCTACAAAACTAGGTGTCATATTCTACAAAAGTAGGTGTCATGTTCCATACAATTAGGTGTCATACTCCAGAACACAAGATAGTTTAGTAAATATCTAGCCTGAATGGTTAATTTGTCAAGGGTGTTCTTCTAATCATGTGAACCATGTGACCTACGAAATCAAATATAATTGTACAAATTCGCCGTCCTAATAGACTATTCAGTAAACTGCTAAACATTAATTGACTCGACACTAAATATTCATTAATGTAACACTAAATATTTATTGACTTGACACTAAAAAGCCTGAAAGGGACCATATCGTTTTTTTGTTTTTTTTTTAAATCCATCATAAAAATTAACCCACCGGTGCTGTGTTGAATAGTCTCTCGCCCTGGTGACCTTGACCCCAACCCTGGACGGGGTGCGGTTGGATGAAACCGTCCATCATGTTGGGGTGGTGTCTAATCACCGGCGCTGTCAGCCTTCTCGTGGCATTTGTCTGCGGTCAATGCCTCCTGCTGACATGCACTGTTTAACAACCATTGGCAGATATCGTCACGTGACCTTTATGATCGCCACTCACAGTTGGCTTGGTCACTCAAGGTTGGGTTGGTCACTCAAGGTTGGGTTGGTCACTCGTTGGGTTGGTCACTCACCGTTGGGTTGGTCACTCACAGTTGGGTTGGTCACTCACAGTTGGGTTGGTCACTCACAGTTGGGTTGGTCACTCATAGTTGGGTTGGTCACTCACAGTTGGGTTGGTCACTCACAGTTGGGTTGGTCACTCACAGTTGGGTTGGTCACTCACAGTTGGGTTGGTCACTCAAGATGGGTTGGTCACTTACAGTTGGGTTGGTCACTCACAGTTGGGTTGGTCACTCAAGTTGAGTCAGTCACTCACGGTTTCGGTTTGTCCCTCGTTGTAGTCGAATTATTGGTGTCTATAACGAAAATGTTAAAACATTGAAATTGGACAAAGGTGAAGCATATATACATAATAATGCTATGGTTGGGGGGGGGGGCAGGGGCAGTGGTTGAATACGTGGTTAAGGTGAGCGAGAAACCCGTGATGAACAAATCATCGATGTTTATTAGTCGAATTATTGGTGTCTATAACGAAAATGTTAAAACATTGAAATTGGACAAAGGTGAAGCATATATACATAATAATGCTATGGTTGGGGGGGGGGGCAGGGGCAGTGGTTGAATACGTGGTTAATGTGAGCGAGAAACCCGTGATGAACAAATCATCGATGTTTATTGTCGGTAGGCAACCATTTTCATGTCTTCTGTATGGTGTTTTTTGTTTTGTTTTTGAGATCATGTAAGATGAATGCTGGAGCCTATAAACCCCCCACCGCCGCTATGTTCACACACACACACACACACACTGCTGATTGTGACGGTCTTATTGAAAGGAGCGCCTGCCGTCTGATAGAGTTTCTACATGGGAAAAAAAGTGAATCTAGTTTTGTTCTGCATAGTAGGGGACATTCTCGGGTTGAAAACATGGACATAGCATTTGCATACATAACATTTACGCGTCTAAACATTGACTTGCGTTACAATGTAAACTTTACATTCTAAACATATCATGTATAATTGTTACACATATAAATATTACATATTTAAATATTTCCTATATTAAAATTAGACGCACAAACTATATATATGTACACATTTTTCATTTTACATGTATAGAAACCAAAGGCGTAGCGACGGGGTGGCAGGGGGGGGGGACAGATGTCCCCGGGCGCAAGCTAGCTAGGGGCGCCAAAATGTGCTTTGATATTATATTATTGGTAAAAAATAATGGGTTTGAGAGTTGAAAAAAGAAAAGGGGGCGCTTTAAAAAGGATCTTGTCCCCGGGCGCCAAACACCCTCGCTACGCCTCTGATAGAAACACACGTATTTATATTATGTGTACAGACATTACCTTTACAAACATACGTAAGATTAAAATTCCTGGATTTTGTTATAGCTTTTCTTTGTACGTTGCTTTTCAGTCCTTTGTTACGTATTGTTCATCTAACGAGCCAAATCTTGAAACAGGATAAATTATTTTACGCCTTACAATGGTACGTGAAATAAGGTAGGGGAAACCCTGATGATAACGGTACAAACAAAGAGTGAAACTATTTAAAACTAAGAGCACCCTCTACTCGCATAACATGATCTACCAAAATAACATAGAACTTACAGCTGTAGGCCTACGTGAATGTGTCTGTACGGCACTGAACATTTTTGTGTATAAATCTTTCAGTCGCGTTCACTGGTATCTTATTGACACATCCTATCTTTCGCGTTTGTTTGATCCTAACGACCAGTAAATACAGTCATACCGTTAAATGTCCAATCGTAACCGAGGCAAACGGGAATTAAGAAAGAACTTAAACTTTTTCGGAATAATATATATATATATATATATATATATATATATATATATATATATATATATATATATATATATATATATATATATATATATATATATATATATATATATATATATATATATTTACATTTAACCAGGAGTTCATTTATTTAAGTACAAGTTTAAGGTAAGTAAGACTTACCCAACAAAAGATCCCATACTTCCAAATAATGGCTTTGGAGGGTTGTTTTTTTTACAACCTCATTAGAACTAGTTGATCAACTGACCAAGAGTTGAAATCAACTCATACAGCCAATACGTCAATGGCCTTCCTCTGAGTTATTACCACGCAAACACTGGCTGATACATATCCTCTACACCCCCCACCCCCCACCCCCCGAGTTCTGGTGTAAGGAACGGATTCAATGTTTTCATACACCTGGTGAAAAAGGGAGTAGAACTCTGGGGGAGAAAACGTTTGGGGGGGGGGGCGATTTCTATTGCTTATCGATCTCTGCCCTGGTGATATCACATTGATCTTTTCTGCCACTGCCAAATAGTCCACGCTTTCACTAGGTCCCAACTGTCTGTGCGGCCCAAATAGAATCCTGCCTTTCTGATTCTAGTCTTTTCTTATGGTAATGGCCCGTGAACCGATCGATAGCTGATACAGACGTTACCGTCTTGTTGGGTTCTTTCCCTTTGGTGGTGTTTTATAGCCCCAATGACAGCACAACCTCCTTCCTCGCCTCTTTCCACCCCCCCCCCCCCCCCCCCAGTCTTTTGACATGTGAGATGGCATAGAGAGCCAAGACGAGAATTAAATATTGTGGTAGGTGGATCATTTGTTCGCCGTTAAGACTTTATTTGGCGAGATGACAAAGGAGCTAAGTTGCTACTTGAAAAGATGACTTGTGGATTAGTCTCACTTGGTGAATTTGGGTTTCTCTCCCCCCCCCCTCTCTGTCTCTCTCTGTCTCTCTCTCTCTCTC